CAACCCTCCGTCCAGCACAAGGTGGCGAGGGTGAGCTCTGGAGCAGTGTGAGGGCCCGAGGTTTTTTTTTTTTTTTTTTTTTTTTTTAGGATTTCAGTGGCGGGTGAAGTGAAGAATCAGGTGTGCAACGTGACAAAACCATCTGATTGAGTTGCTCTTGGGTGAGGACGCTCTGACGGAAGTGGCTAACAGGAAAGGCACGCCCCAAAGGCCTGGCAAAGGAGGCCAGCCATGCCAGAGGCAGCATGAGCTACAGTGAACATTTGTGCCAGTGGGGGGCGCTGTTGCCATCAGGCCAGGTTCTCAGGTTGGACCCTGCTAAACAAGTGACCCCAAACTGAACAGCGAGGCAAGTGTGTGACAGAGACCAGGAGGGTTTACCAATCTGAGAACGGAAGGTCACAGATAAGCAGGGACAATGGACAGGATGACCCCCAGGGCTGCTAGACAAGAGTGGGAGAAGTCAGCGGGAACTCAGTTGTGTTTCCTACAGATGCAGACAGATTTGTGCAAACACGTCTGCCGGTTTCTACGCACGCGTATTTAGATTGGCATGCACACACATTGTTTTGTCAGAGGACAGCAAGGAAGCAAGCACACCCGGGCCCAGCACGCACTTCCCAGTATTAGCCTCCAGGAGAAGGGCCCAGGACACTCTGGAGAAGGAGGAAGTCCAGATCCACAGCAGAGGCACGAAACACACCACCTAAGCCAGCGGTTCCCTACAGTGCAGAAACCTGGCGTGCTCAGAAACAAAAGCCACCCAGGAGCATGAGAGCCAACAGAGTGACCTCCGGGGGCCAGAGCGAGGAGCTGTTAAATGAAATAGGTTTGAGTCTAACCTAAAGAACAGAAGGTGTCTCTGTGAATCCACACTGCTGGAAACAGACAGTCAGCTAAGGAAAGAGATGAGAGAGAAGACATTTGCCGTGCGGGGACATGCCAAAAAGTCTGTATGGCACTGGGCCCCTAAGAAGGGGGCGGCTCCTCACTCCCCCGGGGTAATAACACAACAGGACATCAGACGGGAACTTTCCGGGGCTGGGGGACACACACTACCTTAGACAGGTGACCAAGGCGATTCCAGCAATGAGAAATTACAATGATGGCGGGGACCCTGATTGCAGGATGGGATCAGAGAGGGGTTCTTACCCATGCTCTCTTCCTCTCAAAAATCCATTTCCCCAGTCTACTCACGGGAAAAGCCGCAGACAAACTCCAACAGAGCAACATTCTCCCAAATGCCCGACCAGCACTGTTCAGAGCTTCAAGGTCATCCAAGGCAGGCCACGGCTAAGACATTTCCACCGCAGAAAGGACCCTACAGAGACCTGAGCTCCGGTAACGCACGGCACGCTGAAGTGGGTCCTGGGACAGACACCAAGGAAACTGAATGAAGTCTGGAATTTTATCCAAGTATTGCAAATGACGTCAAGAACGAACCAGTAAAGGGTCACTAGCTTCAATACGTGTGCTGCACAAATATAAGACATTAGAAGTGGAGGTTACTGGGAAAGTAAGTATCACTTCTACAATGCGTAAGTCTACAATGGACCTACAATATAAAGTTTATTTAAAACAAAATAAATTGTGAGGGAGGGGAAACGTATGACTCTCGCAATTCGATAAATGATTAGCAATGGCGGGGCTAATAGTCATGGGGCTGCGGATGTTCGGTAAGCAGCTCAGCTTGCAATAGTCCTAGACATAACCATGTCCAGTCCGAGTGGGCGGGCAGGAGAGTATCCTCGTGTCTATGGCATGCCCTCGGAGCAGACGCTAAGGCACAGAGTAGGATCTTAAAATGCCTCCCACTTTGGGGACTTCAGCTGAAACATCCCAAGTTTTCCCCAAAAGCATTACTTTAAGAGTGACGAGAGTGCCCTCTTGTGGTAAGAACTGGGAACTGCATGCAAGGTGCAACCCCTGTGCCAAAACAGGCTTGACCCTCACTCAGTTGGTCCCTAGTCTGAGTTTTCTCCTCTTCGTAATCTTGGTGGTCCGACAGAGAACACCCACCCACATAGGTATAGGGAAATTCCGGTGGGAAATGAATAAATCCATCCTCAGGCGTACAGGACCAGGTTCTGATGCCCTTAAGTCATCCTGGACAGCAGATCACAGGTGGCCACCACGCCATCCCCCACCCAGACCCCACTAACTCGGGAAACCAGGAGGAGGAAAGTTCTCACAGAACACACCGAGATGGAAAAAGTTGCCCACTTTTGGGGGGACCCCATCTTTGAATGACAAAAATAAAAACAAAAAAAAATCCTGAAAGCCGGAATCCTACACCACAGAACAGGAAAATGAAGAACACTCCTCACCAGGCACTAAGCCAAACAAAGACACGTTTCTCTCATGTAAAACACACCATTTACTCAAGCAAGCAACGCGACAGTAGCTGTACCAACAGCAAAACCAAAGAGTTCTACGACGAGGGGGTAGGAAGCGAACCCCACCCCAAGGGGCATTGAGATGGGCGGGAGGGACTCCCACCAGATCCCTCCCCAAGCAGGCTCTCTGGATGCTGATGCAGGGATTCTAGCTGTCATCCGCTTACAGGAGCCACCCCTGGCTCACAGATGCTCTCCCGCAAGCCCTAGAGAAGCAGCATTATGGAGGATGCAACTTACTTTAGATCGTTCTAGAAAAGGACACCATCAGTGTCTATCGGGAGTGGGCAATTTCGGATCACAGCCGAATGGTCAGCCGAAAAGACATCCCGAAGATATTCAAAGAAACGCAATTAAAGAAGGGATGTTTCTGCTAGTGAGGGGGCTCGCTGAACAGAGTCCCACCCCTGGAAGTCACCTGATCGGAGGAGACACCCAAAGCCCAAAGGTTGTCCTCTGACCTTCACACACACCCGGAGCAGGCGTGCGTACCTGTTCCTCCACGCAATAAGAATTGTAATTTCTTTTTTATTTCAAAGACAGGAAGCAATGTCACTCTCCAGCAATCAGGACAAAGTGAAAGGCACATCAATACTGAAGGCCTGAGGAAAGAGAACTAGAAACAGCTCCAGGAAAAGCCTGGAAGGTTCTCTGCACCCCTGCACAGACACAGCATCCCCCTACACAGACACAGATGATGGTGATGTTTTCTCAAAGACGATAATGTATCTGGCCAGTAGACTATGAAAAGATGCTCAATACCATTATCCCTGCATAATCCACGTCAAAGTCACAGCGAGACTCTGTCACACACCAGCATGGCTGTGGCTGTGTGAAACTGTATCCCCAGACCCAGTTAGTAGACGTGTCAGATGGGACTTCAGACTCAGCTTTGGGCAGGGATGGGGACCTCAGACTCAGCTGTGGGTGGGGATGGGGACCTCAGACTCAGCTGTGGGTGGGGATGGGGACCTCAGACTCAGCTGTGGGTGGGGATGGGGACCTCAGACTCAGCTGTGGGCAGGGATGGGGACCTCAGACTCAGCTGTGGGTGGGGATGGGGACCTCAGACTCAGCTGTGGGTGGGGATGGGGACCCTCAGACCTAGCTGGTAGACATGTCAGAATGTCTTCAGAACGTGCATATCTCGAGACCCAGCCAGTCCTTCTGAGAACTCTAAGGTAATATTTAGATAACCTTCCCCATGACCAACCCCTCTCCCTGAAGTTCATGATGGCACAACAGAATTTCATCTTTGGGGTCCAGATAAGGGCCACTAGCTGTAAGAGAAAGGAGACAGAATTGAAGGTGCAGACACGATCTAAGAATTAAACCGGCATCAGTGAACCATCCAGAGCGTCCAGCAGACGTGAGATACAGCAAATCCTGCTGCCCAAAAGTTGACGCCAGGCTTCCAGGTCTCGCAAGTTCAGAATTACACATGATTGCAGGCCTCAACTGTTTCTTCCGTGATGAACATTGTCCCGCATGTCCTCCTCGATGCAAACCCCACAGAAGCCTGCTTCTCAACCTTGGGGGGTTGTAAAGGAGGTTCCACTCTGAGCACTGCCAAGGGCTGTGGGCCTCTCAGAACCGAATGGTGCTCTACAGACAGCCTTGACTTGTGTCTGGAGGAAGGGTTTAGAAGGTGTGTCTCTGGGATGGCTCGCCCGCCTCCTGCCCAGACCCGGCATTTTAAGTGACAGTGACCTTCATGAGCCACTGTCCAGCCAGTGGCTGTCAGGATCTCTGGATCAACAGCATCCTTGGAAAAAGAAAACGCCAGAAACCCAAGTAATCATTTAAGAGATGCCAAAGCCAAACAGACAGGAATAGCAAACACCTTCAAGAATATGAACTTCCCGGGAGATATTATTTACACACTCGGTCATTTCTTTTTCTCTTTCTGTGGCTCTCAAAGAGGATTTAATCCTCAGACAATTTCTCACTCCCAGAAAGACAAAGGAGCCCACGGTGGGAAGAAAACATTGCTCCATGAATCAAATCCAACACGGCTCGTAAATCACAGCGGATTTAAATTTGTGTCTTGAGTAACGATTGGAAGGGGTGCCATGGCTGAAGTCAGGAGGCCCGGGTTCTTACCTCAGCCCAAGAACTGCCGTGTAGCACATCCTTGGGCCTTTCTGGGGTTACTCACTGGTCCTACAGACCATACCTCGGCTCCTGTCTAGGACGCTTGGTAGCTCCACGGCCCCATGCACATGGCGGAGCTCTGGGCATTCCACTCTCGTGTCCCTGACTTTCATTAAGTTGGTAACACTGGCCTGACCATCACCTGACAGCCTCAGCCTGTCTCAGCGGCTCTAGCAGGAGATGGCTTCCCCACAAAGCAGGGTGACCCGGAGGCCCCTTCCACCTACTCCACAGAACTGAATCTGAATCCTCACTCACGTCTGCTGCTGCAGGGATTGCTGGTGTGAAACACAGCCTCTCTGGGCGTCGTCCCTAGCCCGTCGCCCTCCCCTCTCTGCAGTTTCCGGGTACCGCAGCCCTATTCCTTTCTCTAGTTTCTGGATAGCCTCTTCTATCCTCCCCCCCATCCTCCCCCCATCCCACCCTCAGCACAGTGCAGTTTCCAAGTACCATAGTTCCATTTCCCTCTCTGTAGTTTCCAGGTACCGTCTTCCACAGAAGCCTCTGGAACTGGAACCCTTTGGAAGAAAGCCAAATTAAAACAGGGACAACACGGCTTCCTAGCATTCCACCCTCAGGACAGAGGAAGTGGTTGACTTTCCCCAGGGCTGACCCAAAGCAAACTCAGAAAGGACAAAGCCTCATTGTAAGGTCCCCTGGCCTCTCTGGAAGCACAGCCTGGTTCCTGCTCTCCCCGATGGAAAGAAGAGCCACCTTTCCTCTCTGTCACCTGCTCTCTGTGTGCTGGTGACTCCTAGGGCCACCTCACTCTTAGAAAGGCCCAAAGGCTAAGAATGCCAGGTCGGAAAGCAGGCTGGATGGGTGTGAAGGTGTGGGCAAATGTCAGTGCTGAGGGCTGAGCTCAACCAACCTTGATCATCGCGGGCAGAAAGAAGCTGAACTGTAGCCAAGATCGTCCCAGACAACCACGCAGCTACTGGTTCCCGGTCTGCTGCACCCACAGGTCACCAGGAGACCCTCACAGGCAGCTCTGCAATCAACAGAGGACTTTCATTGCCATCACCCTGACAACTCAGAGGTGGGGCTCTGACTGCAAGTGCATGCCGTCTACAGATGTCCAAATTCACATACAAGATATTGTCGCCGTGTCCTGCCAATGCACAAGCTGAGCTGAGGGCAAAGCCCCCAAGCACCGCGCCACAGGAAGCTGGGGGAAATTCCCACCACATCCGAAGACACCAAGATGCGGATGTGGTAAAGAGAAAACAGGGCTAAAAGTGCAGGGAGCTACTAAGGCAGAAGCAAAAGGGCAGCCCGGGGAGAAGAACCAGTCCAGCCTGAGAAGTGAGAAACCTCATGGCCAGCCCTGCTCTTAGGTAAGAACGGGAAGCCCAGTTCCTGCTCTTGGCCTTGCTTGACACCATGAAGAAGAGGGTCGGCAGGAACAAAGGGGGAAGGTTAAAGAGGAAAGTTGATGTTGGCTTTCACACTAGGTGCTGGGCATAAAAGCAGCTCACCAGGCCCGGGACTGGGGGAGATGTCCTACTGAAGCCACAGAGAGGCTCTTAGAGGGGCACTTGAGGATAGGAGGCCCCATCACAGGCTCATGAAGAAGTAGAGAAAGGCCCCACCCTGGTCCTCGGTCAGATGAAGACACCAGCCAGGCCATCTGACTGAAGGGTTTGTTCTGTTTGCTGTAGTTTCCTGAGCAGGCTTTGTTGTTGACTGTTGATTGTTTTCCTCTCTTTTGGCTCTTTTTTTTTGGGGGGGGGGTTGCTGCCACTCAGCTCCCAAATAAATCACACATGGAGGCTTATTCTTAATTATAACTGCCCGGCCTTAGCTTGGCTTATTTCTTGCCAGCTTCTCTCTCTCTCTTTTTTTTTTTTTTTTTTTTTGTATTTTCCACAGAAGAAAGTATTTTTTAATTGATTTTATTGAGCTCTATATTTTTCTCTGCTCCTCTCCCTGCCTCTCCCCTTCAACCCTCTCCCAAGGTCCCCATGCTCCCAATTTACTCGGGAGATCTTGTCTTTTTCTACTTCTCATGTAGACAGATCTATGTAAGTCTCTCTTAGGGTCCTCATTGTTGTCTAGGTTCTCTGGGATTGTGGTTTGTGGCCTGGTTTTCTTTGATTTATGCTTTAAAACCATCTATGAGTGAGTACATGTGATATTTGTCTTTCTGAGTCTGGGTTACCTCACTCAAAATGATGTTTTCTAGCTCCATCCATTTGCCTGCAAATTTCAAGATGTTATTTTTTTCTGCTGTGTAGTACTCCATTGTGTAAATGTACCACATTTTCCTTATCCATTCTTCAGTTGAGGGGCATTTAGGTTGTTTCCAGGCTCTGGCTATGACAAACAAAGCTGCTATGAACATAGTTGAGCACGTGTCCTTGTGGCACAACTGAGCTTGCCAGCTTTTCTTAAATTATCCCATCTGTCTTTGGCCTCGGGGCTTTGATCTTGCTCTATTCCTCTATACCTTTATTTGTTTCTTACTCTGTGTCTGGCTGTGTAGCTGGGTGACTGGCCCTGACATCCTCCTCCTTCCTCTCTTGTTCCCTGATCCCCCCCCCACACACACACACACACATTTCTCCTCATATTTATCCTCTCTGCCTGCCAGCCCTGCCCATTTCCCTCCCCTGCCTCGCTATTGGCCGTTCAGCTCTTTCCAGGTGGTTCAGACAGGCACAGTAACACAGCTTCACAGAGCTACACAAATACCACATAAAGAGAAGTCACACACCTGAAATGATATTCCCCAAAAAGGTTCCACGGGGAGCAAAGAGAACAAGGGATCTTCCGTGATTCCTCCCAGCTCGAAGGAAGTCTGGCCATAGCACTCACGGGGTCCAAACAGCAGCCAAGGAAGGTCACCATTAGAGGACTTCTGGGAGAGATGCTTCTCGGAGAGTGGGACTCTGAGCGGTGATAGGGATGGTGACAGCTCCCCAGTAAGAAGTGAATGAATGAGGGGCCGTGACAAGAGCAGAGGAAGGAATGAACCACTCCCGCACAGCTGCCCCTGGCTGCACACCGTAGGTGCTTGGGTGGCAGGACTCCTGAGCAACACTGAACGCAGGCTTGGAAGACAGTGAACAAGACCAGCAGGCCAGGCCAGCGGGGCAGGAGTGGTAGGCATGGTGGCAGTTTAACACTGAGGGCTGGGAACTGGGAGGTAGGCTGGCAAACTGGCTGTTCCAAGGACACACGTGGTCTTAGGAATGATCTTAAGGACAGGGACTTGGTTTCACATCGATGAGGCAAAGGCAGAGAAAATGAACGATCAAGTCAGCTGCCAGGGTACTGTTCATCTCAGGATGCACCCTGACATCCTGTAAGGAACAGAAAAGGGGCATAGGGAGGACCAAGGAGGAGGAAGATAGAGGAGGAGGACGAGGAAAATTGGAGGAGGAGGAGGGAGGATAGAGGAGGGGGAGGACCCAGGAGCCAGGACAGGGAGGGAAGACAGAGGAGGAGGGAGAGGATCCAGGAGGAGGAAAGGAAGGACTCTGGAGGGGGACCATATAAGCAGGAGGAAAATTGAACAGGAGGACAGAGGAGGGGGAGGACCCAGGAGCCAGGACAGGGAGGGAAGACAGAGGAGGAGGGAGAGGATCCAGGAGGAGGAAAGGAAGGACTCTGGAGGGGGACCATATAAGCAGGAGGAAAATTGAACAGGAGGACAGAGGAGGGGGAGGACCCAGGAGGAGAAAGGAGGACCCAGAAGGAGGGGGAGAATCCAGGAGGGGAAGACCCAGGAGGAGGAAGGAGGACCCAGGAGGGGGGCCATACAAGCAGGAGGAAAACCGAAGAGGAGGACAGAGGAAGAGGCAAGGTGGAGCGTGCATTTTGTTGAAACTTGTTCCGCATGGGTGTATCCTAAGGGTCCATACAGGAAATGAGTTTAGAAATGGGGTGACCACACAACCCCTCTCTGGAAACATTTAAATGTTCTGATTTGTCCTGTAGATAAACAAACAAACAAGCCATGTTTAATTCTGCCTGAACCTGCATCTTCAGCTCTTTTCTGACAAATTTGTTGGGTGCAGGGGCATGGGATGAGGCAGAGTACCTATTAGAACTCACCGGGATGGATTATAAAATTGCTGTTGAAGAGAAAAGGAAAAAAAAAACACTTATACACTGGGAAGAAAAGATGGATATGGGGGAGGGACGCTCAGCAAGAACTTCACTAGGGGGACACGAGGAGGGAGGCAGAGGCGAGGAGCCATCAAAGTCACAGAAGACAGAGGATGGCAGGAATCCACTAAGACTCCTCAAGAACATCTCAGTCAAGAGCTGAGCCCCCTTCAGGGAAAGCATAATGAATGCTAACTCACTTCTCCGTGCCTCCCACCTGGCCGCAGTGAAGACAGGGCAGTTATTAAGAGGAGGACAATCCTCCTTTGACAAAAAGAGAGGAGTTAAGGCTTCAGACGGGCCCCATCGCAGATCAGCCCTGCGATCGATCCTGAAGGGATGGGGAAGGAAGGTGAATCCGCAGAAGCAAAGAGAAGGAGTGCGGGGGCGGGGGGGGGGGGATTAAGCCTTGTTTAACGCGCTGGAAGCAGAAAGGACATCTCCCATCATTGATGTCCAAAGGCACCCAGGCCCTGCACAGACACAAACTGCAGGCATCTCTTTGCCCCACTGCTTAGCAGTTTGTATTTATTAAGTCACCTTCGTGGCCTTTGGATGGCCACACACACACACACACACACACACACATACACACACATACACACACATACACACACATACACACACATACACACACACATACACACACATACACAGGAAACAGGAAGTCAATTGAGACACTGGACAGTATCCTGAGCATAGAAAAACTCAAAGCCCACCCCCACAGTGACACACTTCCTACAACAAGGCCACACCCACTCCAACCGAGCCACACCTCCTAATAGTGCCACTCTCTATGAGATTATGAGGGCCAATTACATTCAAACTACCACAGACCTCAAAGTCAGCCATCAGGAAGAGGCCAAGAGGCTGAGAAGCCAGCCTGGCATCACCGCCCATCTCCTCACTGCTACTCCAAGCTGCCCAGGCAGTGAGCTGCTCTAGTCGCCCAGGCCACCTCTGTGGGCACCTTGGGAGTGAGAGGCTCCAGGCCCTGATGAGCTGAGGCTACTCACTTGGTAGGAAAGACCAACTACTTCCTTCATACAAAAGCTACACACTGCTACTAGGTGGCGATTCTCCTTTCCAAAGGTTTTTATCTCAGGATGGGGTGGGCTGAAATTCACTGAACTGTCTGAAATTGTCTGGAAACCATACAGAGGCAAAACCCAGGGCAGCACTGGCTATTATATTCCAAGGGAACAGGCCTACAGATTTTTTTTAATGTTTTAAAGTATTCTGCTGGGACATCCCTAAGGGAACCATGTCAGGAAAAACAGGGGTAGTGAGATCACCTATGCTGTGGTGTGCCTGCATGCCCATTTCAGATATGCTGTAGAAAAATCTGTGCACAATGGTGCATGCACGCAAAAGTGCACACACATCCACACATACACCTTGGTGGAAAGCCTGCATGGATCCTGTTAGCCAAACACCGTTGCTATCACTTAGTAGGACTTTGAAAAATAACTTAGCTAATGGGACTGCCAAACGACTGGAGAGAAATTGCCTGTTCTAAAAGCGCTATAAAAATTCTCTTCTCTTTGAGAACAGAAGACAAGCCGGTGGAGAGGGAATTACTTTTAAAAGAAATCTAAAGTTAGTTTAAAACCCTTTTCTGCCAAGATCCATTAACCGCAAAAATAGGTTCCTTCCCAGGGCCCCAAAGCCTGCCATGAGTAGCGGGCAAGTTCAATTTCCCTAAAAACTATTTTCAAAGGAATCACTTCATCACTAGCTTAGACATCTAATTTCCCTGTGATAAGGAAGTAATCCTTCTCCCGCCCTCTCCCACTGGCTATAGGCCAGTCAGCACTTGGAAGCTCAAGGAAGGAAGTCTCAGCAGGGGAGGCAGGGTGTTCGTGGACCTAAGCCTCCTTGTGGACCCGAAACCGCCGGGTCCCAAAGCTGCTATGAACAAGGACAAGAAAGGAAGCGAGGCATTTGACCAGGACGCGAGGTCTCTACGGTAAGCTCTGCTCATGCGGTCCAACACACAGCTGAGGCTAACCCAAAATATCACCCCCGCTATGTCTTTAGAATGACTGTAGGTGCACAGATTAATTATTTAAGATAAATATGAGCAAAAGGCAAGAAAGAGAGTTTTGTTTTATTCCTTCTTGTTGTTTTGGGGGTTTGTTCGTTGGCTTGCTTGTTTGTGTGTTTCTTAGACAAAGTCCAGGTAGATAGCCCAGGCTGGCCCTTGACTCCCTCCCAACCCTCTTCCTTGCCCTTCTTCATGCCGGGATCATCAGCTTGTGTTGTTGTGCCTAACAAAGGTTTAAATGGAAAGCAGTCTCCAGGTGGTTTCTGTTGTGGTTTGTCTTTGGTTTGCCGCTAATAAGCCTAATCCCGACAATCTGCAGGAGAGCAAGTGTTAGTCTCCAATGCTTCTCTTTCTGTAAAGAGTGCATCCTATCTCTCTGGTCAGGGCTTCACTCCCTCCTCTGACTGTGATCTTCTACGAGTTCAGACGACTAAAGAGCAGATCACAAGACCCTCTGTGGGACCCTGCCACCTCAGCATGGCACAGATGGGTTCATCTCTTCCATGGGAAGCAGACAAGAGAACACCTCTGTGATCCAGAGGAGGGGACAGCCTTGGCACCCCCTCCACCATAGGAATCCATGCTGTGGCTAGCACCATGAAACATGAGGTGCCAGCTAACAGACATGCCGTGGACATGCCCTGGTGGATACCATCAAAGACCCAGTGTCCACCCGGAAACCACATTTTCAGGCTGACATACCCCCATGTCCCCACCACTGCCAAATGTGCTCCATCCCAATTAACTTGTCACTAGCTACTTAAGGAAAAGTGTCTTGGATACTTAATATATGCAAGTTACCAAGTGAGGAACAAGACTAAACCCCTTATTCCAGAGTTTTGCTGTGAAGTAGAAAACAGAAATACATAGGCAGTTCTGATGCAATCTGACATCTATATGCTAAAGCAAGCCCAAGGCACCAGGGGCACAGCTAAAACCAGGTAAGAGGTACGCAGGAGCCGTCCTGTGGACAGAGCAGCAGGAACCAAACCAACCCCCTTCCGACTCCATGTAGTCTTTTTCTGGCTAAATAAAAGCTGGCCTTCCTTTCGGGGCACTGCAAGGACAGTCCCAAGCCAAAGGGGACTGAGTCGCCCACACTGCTGATGAGAACACCAGGCAGGCAGAGGGCAAAACTTCTCCTTGCTCCAGAGAGCTCAATGCCTACTCCATGGAGCACCAGATTAATCTCTCTCACCGTGGAAATCAACAAGAGCTCAGACAAGAGACAACCGGCAGGGGAAGCACGCGTTTCTAGAATCAGAAAAGCAAAAGTAAGCCAATTATATCGTTCAAGAGCCTGGACTGCAGGAAGAGGTGCCCTGCGATTCACACCATGGTTGTCAGGTACATCTAACACAGGCACTCGGCAGAGCTGGAGGAAGAAAAGCTGCCCGTGGTCTGTTCTGTCTCACACCTCCAGACAAAAAAGACAAAGCCCAGGTTTCAGAGCCACAGCTGCAGACAGGGGAGAGACCCGGAGGCCAGAAAAGCGTGTCCGTATCCAAACCAGAACCAGAACCCAGGTCCCGCAATGCTCTGTGAACACATGTTCCCCTCATCTTCCCGAATCCCAGGTCTGGGCACTAGGCAAGGACATATTCGGGAGAGGTATCTATTTCCTTAGATCTTTTTTTAGTATCTCTTCCCAACTTGTAGAATTTCTACCAGAGGAAATGCAGACTGGTTTAGTGGTTCTTGTTGCCTTCCCAGAGCAAGAAAGCCCAAGGGGGACTCCACCAGAAAGGAGAGAGCCCTGCCCTAAATGGCAGCTCCTCCCAGCAAACAGTACATGCCTACAAGAGATAACGTACGTGTTTATATGTGCCTGGATGTGCGTGCCTACATCTGTAAGAGCACATATGCACACATATGAATGACTAGGCACTATGTATGTGTGAGGGGCCTATGGGTGAGCATGTCTGTATACAGACACAGGCATTAATGTACTCATGTTTGTGTGACTGGATGTATAGATGTTTATGTTTGAAAACTTCACAGGAGGAAAATGAAAGAAGACACCACTTTCTGCCACCTTCGCAGAGCGATGCCCGCAGAGCTGACAGAGTCCCCTTGCCTGGCGGACCTTCTCACTGCAGCTGAGAGGCGAGAGGCCACTGTGCTAACAAGCAGCGAATGGAAGCCTGAGGAAGCAGGCCTGAGAAGCCGAGCTCAGCTGCAGCAAATGGAAGCCTGAGGAACCAGGCCTGAGAAGCCGAGCTCAGCTGTAGCATAACGCATGGCCCTGAAGCTCACGCTGCCTGTTTTGGTTTACTTTCTAAGGATGTTTTGTTTTCAATTGTATGAACACATACATGTCTCCCTAAGGGTATGTGCACATGCGTATAGGTGCCAACAGAGGCAGAAGAAGGTGTCAGATCCCCTGAGCTGGAATCACAGATGCTTGTAGGTGCTGGGAAAGGAACTCTGGTCCTCAGCAAGATCAGCATGAGTTCTCGGCCACTGAGCCATCCCTGCAGCCCTCTGTTCTGGGAGACTGGGTCTCCTGTAGCCTAGGCCGGCAGTGAACTCACTCTGTAGCCAAAAATGATGCTTGAATTCATGAGTCTTCCAACTCCAGGCATACACCACCACCAATCCTGCCTCCACGCTGTTGTATTTATGTTTCATTGTGTGTGATGTGTGTGTGTATGATATACATGTGTGTATGACCATGTGTGTGAGGATGGGCACTTGTATGATGCTTTGACATGTTGGTGGAGGCTGAAGGACAACCTCAGGGGTCAGTCCCCACTTCCACCTTGTCATTTGCTGATGTACTGTGAACACCGCGCTCGCTGGCCCATGAGTGTCCAAACGTTCTCCTGTCTCCACCTCCCATCTCCCCATCAGGGCTCTGGGATACAGATCCATGCTAACGCACCCATCTTTATGTGGGTGTCTGGGGATTTGAACTGGGGTCCTCACAAGAGCACAGCAAGCCGTTTATCCCCTGTGTGTCTCCCCAGGCTCGCGCAGCCTCTATTAAACACTGTCCCGAGACACCTCACCATCTCTGCGCAGAGATGCTTGTGATGGAGTCATTGCTGCCACCTCACCAGGACAGGTGATCCTGTCTAAATGCTCAGAAATGTTCCCATCATGAATGTCTTTTGAAACATTTCAGAATGTGATTTTTACCGGACAGACAGATTTTTCACAACAACAACCACGCACTTCATCTTTCTTTCATTGGGGGGGGGGTGTAAAGAAAGGGTTTCGCACAGAGATCACAGATCATTCTGACCTCAAAGGAGTATCTGTGAGAGAGACAGCGAGAGTGAGAGTCAGGGCGCAAACATTTCTGCTAGCACTGACAGGCCTCCTGGCTTTGGGAACGGGGTTAAAACCCTTGAGAAGACTTTCACCACAGGGAGCGCCATCTTGAGCCCATGGTCCCACACATAGCTGGATCCTGTCATAGGGGAAGAAAGGCAGCGGTGGTTTTCAGCATACGATAATCACTACACACAGACAAAGGACTGTGGAACCCCCAACCTCCTCTGGGATGGAGTGGGGAGGACTTTGTTCTGCTATTCTCTGCTTTAGCCCCGCATCCTGAGCTCCCGTAGCATTTGCTTAGACCCCCACGCCCCTGCCTATTTCATGCATACTGCTATTGCTCACCTGGTCACCTGACTCTCAGAAACATGTACCCACCAACACGCATGGGCCTTGGACATGTGCTTGGAGTGAGACTCACTGGCATGCAGTTGACCCCCAAATCCCCAGAACTCCCCAGACTGAGGTGTAGGAACAGCTAACAATAGAAGAAGACAACTAACAAGGGACACCCAGGTGTCCTGGACAGACAAGACAGAGAGGACCAAGGGCACAGAGGGTTTGGCCAGGCGGTCATCTAGCGGTGTGTGGCTCTCTCCTCCACACACAGGTGAGCAGGAGGCTGCAGAGGTGACTGTAACATCAGGGCTCAAAAGGAGGGCAGGTCTGGCTTCCGGTTCCCATTTCCTGACTCTAGAATCGAAGCTGCTACCAAGACAATCTGAATTTTCCTTTCTTACAAAGTCCTGACACCACGATCCACTATAAATTTAAAAATCAATTAGCTCTGACCCCGTGAATGATACAAGGATCATGTTCCTGTCAATGACGTTAGCATCATTCTTGTGATTTGTATGAAAAATGCCATTTCTAAAGCTTGAGGGTTTGTTAGAGTTTGAATAAAAAACTCATAGGAAGAACTTAGAGACAAAGACTATAATTCAAATTCATCCTAACCAAGGGAGTGGAAAAGAAACCACTTTTTGAATATCCAAACTCTTTCAAAGCAGCAACCGGTTTCCTAGACGAGGCCAGTGGTGCCGCAGAGCCCAGGACCAGGGGCCTCTTCCAAGCTCTGCTGCTTGGCCGACTGTGAAAGCTACTTATGGGTAGGAATGTTCTCGGGTTTGCTCGCCGGGAAGGGATTTGGGATGCACACAACCCCACACACAGTGGATACTACCATTGCTGCTTTTTCCCTCTCTGTTCAAAAGAGTCATGGTAGAATTAGCTTGGGATCCACTGACTCATAGAAAATACCACATAATAAGATTAAAATTGAGTTTGTCAAAACCCTCCCACGTTAGCAAGCCCTGGAAACGCTTCTATGCGTGAGCTGCACACCAGTGAACAAACCATCCACTGACAACAAAACTATTCTGTAGGAAGTTTGTCTCCTGACAGAAATAAACACATTCTAAACAGCAATTGACGAGGCTCACGCCATAGACTGCACGCTGGGAGTCTGGTCTCTGGAAAGCACACTTACAAATGGCCTGCAGCTGTCTCTTTACTGGCACTTTGCAAGGAACAGAATAAACTTCCAAAGCAAAGGAGCTGTGGTAAAAGGCACACAGACCTGTTGGTTGTGGGTGGTGCCACTTTCCCGGCCTGCCACAGTGGACCGCTCGTGCTCCTTAGGAGCAAGCAGCAAGCTCGGGTTTTTGCTGAGCTGATGTTGAAGTCTGGGTTTTGCCACTGAATCGCAGAATCGAGGGCACAACTCGAAGAGAGCACACACCACGCCTCCTAAGGTCACCTCTGCGCACTCTGCACCACAGAGGGACGTGTGTCACGCTGGAAACCAGTTCTACAATCCCAAGGTCAGAGTAGAGGCCCCTGGGTGGAAACAGAGGGCACGAGAGAAAGCAACTGCATGTCACTGGTGTGTGTCTGTGCTACTGCACCTGCCAGACAGAAGCTCTCAGGAGGAGGAATTCTGTTCCGGTGACAGTCCGCTATGAGTCAAGTTCCTCCCTGGATGCTCGGTTTAGAATATGGTCTAATTAGAGGGGAATAGTTTGTAGAAATTAAATGAGTAGCCAAAAGGTCATGCTGAGAAGTGGCCTGGTCAGCAAAGGGTTTCCCACAGAAGCACAAAACCTAAATTTGACCCCTTGCACCTACATTAAAAAAAAAAAAAGTTGGGTTAGATCTAAGGAGATATCTCAGTAGTTAAGAGCCAATACTGATCTTGCAGAGGACCCAGATTAAATTCCTGGAATCCAGAGGGCAGCTCACCACTGCCTGTGCCTCCACAGGCCATAACTCCCTCTTCTGGCCTCCACATGCAGATGATGGCATTCATACAGGCAAAACACCCATACACATAAAATAAAGAAATAAAAATTTTAAAAGCTGGATGTGGTGTCAATACATAGAATCTCGATAGACAGGCAAATGACCAGATTACTAAGAATTTTGTGTGAGGGACAACACACAATGACAGCTTGTTGTGTGGAATACACGGTCTCATAGCAAAGACCCATCAAACAGAGTCCCAGAGGTGGCATGTTCTGAGCAAAACGAGTTACAGTGGTCACCCTCTGCGGGGCCATCAGAACCAGCAGTCATGGGTGCCCACCGCCAATGCAGAGAGAGACATAGCCAGGAAAGCAGTCACTGAAAATGCAGAAGCCAAGAATGGGATACAACCATGCTATTCCTATCAGCAAATCCAAACAGGACAAGAATTAGAATACACTGGCAAGGAATATCAGCGGTACTGGGTGTGGCAGATGGACCACACAGCTACATTCCTCTGCTGCCGCACAGTAGATGACACCTGCTCTCAAACAGAAAGGAAGGCCAGGACTATCATGCCGTCTGAAGAACGTTCTGCTGTGAGTTTGAGTGTCCCACCCCATTAGTCAGACCACATTCCTTCTTCAGCATGTTACAAGGAAAGGGGCGTGATTCCACCACACCTGGCACGACAGAGGGAAGAGTAAACCAAAACCAATGGGGCGTCAAGAAGCATGATTAGCAAGGTGGTCCTGTGATGATGATATGTATTGCTTTCATTGGCTAATGAATAACGCTGCTTTGGCCTGTGGCAGGGCAGAATATAGCCAGGCTGGAAGAGATGTTAGGAGTAGGCAGAGTCAAGGAGATGCCATATAGCTGCTGGAGAAGGCAGATACCATGTAGCTGCCCAAGAAGCAAAAGGTAACAAACCATGAGCCTTGTGGTAGAATATGAAATAATAGAACTGGGTTAAGATGTAAGAGCTAGCTAGAAATACACTTGAGCCATGGTCCAAACAGTGATGTAATTAAGATAGTTTCTGTGTGATTATTTGGGTCTGGGTGGCCAGGAAATGAATGTGCAGTCTCCTTTTACATAATGGCACCAATGTGGGCCAACTACATCCACATAAAACCTGAGAGAGCTTGGGAAGGAATTCTAGACATAAAAGAACAGAGTTAAGCACAGCTTCTTGGTAGCAGCACTTTCTCAGGTATACCCTGTTTGTTAGAGGCAAGCAGAGGTGCAGCTCCTTTATGAGAGGCTTCCTAACTCAGTGTTAGCAGCAAAAACTTTACGGCTTCTTTAAGAAACAGCAGCTTCCTAGTTCGTGCTGGCAGCATGAACTCTGACTCTTTTGAAAGGTCTGCACTTAAATGGGGTTTACGAGCAGTGTGCTACTAGTTGCTTAACGGTGACTTAGACCCAGCGTGCCTGGAGCTGGGGCAATGAGCCTGACGTGAAGAGGTGGTGAACGCACCTCCCCCACGTTAAAAGGGGTGGAGCCAAAAGGCAGTGCCGCAGAGTTGGTCCTTGCCATGCCCGCTTAGCATTTAAAAACAAAAAAAGTGCTCCTAGTCAGGAAGTGATTGCAAATATGCAATAAAGAAAGATTCAGATAAAAATAAACCTCTAAATGGGTCACAGTGTATTTAAAAAAATGATACATAGGCCTGGAAGAGAGAGGAAAAAGAGTACAGACAGCTATAAAAGAGTATAAACAGCCATAGATTAAAGGAGTAGATAATTAAATATATATTAAAAAGTAATAGAGTAATAAAAAGCCACATAAAAATGGAATATACACAGAGAATCTGGATTATGTATATTATTGTGTTTCCTTTGAATTTTTTGACTGCAAAGAGATATTTGATTCTGGGGGCTGCTAAGCTAAACCAACACACAGATAATCTTCAACACTTCTGAGACCTATGGAATATGATATTTAAAAGGTTTTAAGAATTTAGTCTTTTCTTGACCACCTGACTCCACACCCCAGGGCTACAAGCATGGACAGCCATGCCCAGCTGTAAAGTGGCCTACAACATGAATCAGAAGGGCTCCAGGGTTTATTTCCTAACTCAGACCCGCACTTTGGACAGGGATGGATGCTCAATTCTTCTCAAGTCACAGGCTGTTAACTGGCAGAGACAGCACAGCTGAACTGATTAATACAGCAATCACACCCTGCAGGGGTTACCTTGGCCCTCAGGGTATATGCTTCCTGGGAGAGCTCTAGGGGCTGTATTCTGCCTTCCTCCCTGGGGAGGTGTCTTTCTCTAAAGATGTGGGACAGAAGGGCAAAGGGACCCCTTCTGCTGTTCTGTTGCTAAGGCCAAATACTGGCTGCTTGCATTTGGGTATCCGAGCGCACAGACACAATAGAATAAAATCTCAAAAAAAATAAAATAAAAAAAAAAAAGAATAAAATCTCAAGGGCCATGGTGTGAACAGCTAGCACTACAGTCCTGGTCAGCAGGACCACCAGGGCTCACTACCCTTGCTAGCAAACATACTGAGGGAGAGCTAGCACACCCTTGATCATCTGCTGACAGAACAGAGCCTGGGTCATTCCCAACGCCTCCTGGTGTGTGTGCATCTACTGTGTAGGAAAGATAGTGCATGCTCAAGATGGCTGCCACCTACAGATCCGGTCACTACTGGCCTCGTTCCTCGGCTTCCGTCACTGGTCCCGTTGGTGGCCACTGAGGGCAGGGCTGTCAATCATTCATGACCACCTCAGCATACCCACGGAAGCAATTCCACCTTCAGTGGCCCCTGCTCCTGCTGGGTGTGGTATTTTGGCTTCTCTTTGCCTAATTCTTATTCCCCTGGTATTGTAATGAAGTACCAATTGCCTGACACGTTTCCCCAACTGTCACCTAGGACATTGCTCCACCTGGAGCTACCCATACTCCCCAGGTTTCCCTTCCTAACTAGTAGGAATCTTTATTTTGGATATGCTGTTCCTCTTTTGTTTGTATACCATGGTAACTGGTCTTCCCATCTTGTCTCTCTTCCCCCGTCAGGGCAGGAGCAGCGTGGTCTACGCAGTCCTTCATCTTGTGACAACTCTCCCAAGGCACCCACTCCACATAGGACTGTGAGCACATCCCAGAGCGGATCTGCTGCTTTCCCCTTGAACATAGCACAGTTCCAATATCTATGACTCCCGGTGGGGGGAGGGGGCTGCCACCCCTAGGTGATACAATGACAGGTGGTATTGACTTGCTTGTGTGTCCTCCATGACCTGGGACTCCTCAGCTGGGATCAGTAGCTGGACCTACCTTCCTCACACTGCTATGTTTGGGATATACTGATCGCACTCTGACACTCCCAGGATTACCAATAAAGTTTACTTTGAATCAGAGGGTGGAGCTAGCTGACCAAAATTAGCCACAGAGGTTTTGGTGGACAGAGGACATATAGCGAGGCATAGGAAGTAGTAGGGTGGGGCTTAGAAAGATTCTTGGCCCTTTTGGATCAAGGAAGGAGAGAGGGAGAGCCTCTCTGCCCCTACTCTGATCATCAGGGTCTTACCCCGATGTCTGACTCCTGCGTTTTTATTGATAAAGGATAATTAGACAAACATATCAACACCATGACAGGAGCTGTAACTGCTACATGGAAGACTGAAGTAGGGTCAAGAAAGGCAGAGAGAGAAGTAAAAGGATGAACTTGGGTCCTATAAAGTCACAAAGGTGAGCAAAACCGGAGGTGTCCCTCTAAGGCATGCGTGCCACTGAAGGGCATGGGTTTGGTCACCTAAGGTAAGTTTGGGGTACACATTACACAGTTCCTGGGCCTACACAAGACACAACTGGCTCCATATCAAGCAAGCAGCCCCTTCCTCGCTGGGCCACCTCAGAAACAGCCACCAGTGATACACAGGCTGCTTGCAATTCTATTCCAACCTTTGATGCTACCAAAAACAACACAAACAAGGAAGAAACAACATATCCCCTGTAAACTATGAAACACAGTGAACGATGTAAGCCCACTGGGTGTGCTGTTAAACAACACGGTAGACATTAAGGACAGACACATCTGTGTAACACAGATTTATTGGAATTAAAGACGGAACCTTGACTTCGTTTACACTTAAGAAAATGTAACAAAGCCTCTTCTGTATCCTTGAGTTACCACTAAGCCCCACGAGTACCTCCATGGAGAGCAGGAGGCCGATGCCCAGACAAAAAAGACAGATTCCCTTCCATCCAATAAACAATCCTAACGGCCAAATGCTGATGCTGACTGGGCGCCCGAGGAGCAGTCGGGCTTTTCCACAGCAAACTGCTGGCCATCCCGTGGCGCTTAGGTCCCATAATGCAGCACTCTCGCACCCAGAGATCCATTCACCTCCCAGAGGGCACACATGTCAAACAGCACATCGCAGTGAACACGAAAACTCCTGGAGACGATTCCAGAGTCTCCCTCCTCCCTTGGAACTTGCATTTGCAAAGCAGCACTGCAGAAGCGGGGACTCTGGAGTGTGCTACCGTCCTTACGAGAGCATTTTAGAAGCACCGAGTCAGGGGTGGCTGAAGATACGATTGAGGCGTGCTGCTTGGACTCACGCCGAGACCAGGCGTTCATCCATATCCCGGGTGGGAGCTGTTTGTGAATAGCACCCTCAGAACGCCCACTCCTCTTCTATTTTTCATACACACATAGGGTCGAGGGCAGTGTCCCTGTGCATCAGACAAATGCCTGGGTATGGAGCACGGTGTCATCTGTCCTGTGTAAGCAAACGCGGGGACTGTGCGCTGGTGATTATGTCAACGTTACAGAATAGAATCGCCTAGGAAACAAAGCTCTGGGAGTGTCCGGGAGGGGAGCTGAGGTGCAGGGACTCACTCGAGATTTAAGTGGCATCACCCTCATGGGCTGAATGTAAAAGTGCAGAGAGTTGAGTACCAGCACTTGGCTCTGGATAGTGCCTCCTGCTCCTCCCATGACGAACTGCGCCCTACAACTGTGACCCAAAATAAACCCTTCCTTCTCCGCGATGCTTCTGCCGGGTATTGTGCCACACCGTTGAGAGTGACTGACGCAGACTCAGACCTGGCGCCTGATCCACGTTCCGTACCTTGTCCCCGTGAGATGCTGGTGCTCGGCCAATAGCCAAGGGGACTTTTAGGTGTGTATGAAGGCTTGGCACTTGACTGAGGAAGGGGTACTATGTCATGAAACTATTTACTTATACTATAGGAAACAAGGCAGGGGAGGAAGGGGCGGGAGAGACTTTTCCATTAAGGGGATCACTTGGCAAGTTCTGTCTTTAGTCATTAATTTGTTTTGAAACAGGGCCCAAGGTAATGTGCACACGGGTTGGAGAGGAAGGCGAGAAAGGGGGAGAAGAGATGAAAGGGGACTCAGGGGACAGGACATGGGAGGAGGACTATGGAGAAAACAGACTTCCCTGGAACTTCCTTATCAGCAAGACTCCTGAGACAGACATCTAAAAACATCCCAAGGCCCAGTGCTGAGGCCCTTCGCCGTCTTTGGAGGGGTGCGTCTGTATTAACTTAGGTCTTGCCAATCCAGTAAAATTTCCAGACAGAATCCCAGGGGAACCTCTGTTTCCAGCAGCAAGAGGAAGATCTATACTAACCGAACACCGCTTCCCACGGGGGGCCCTCTCACTGACTCATCCATCTAAATGGGGTTCCAACACTGGCACGGGTGGCCCTGGCACATCCTGCCAGGTACTCAGAGTCTCTTCAGGAAGATGCCAGTCTCGGTGTCAAAGGAGAGAAATGAGACACCACCCACAAGGTGCACAGGGTTGAGGGGATGCCAGAACAGGAAAGGCTGAAGACATCTTACAGAATGGTCCTCTGTCCATTGGCAGGATACGCGTGCCCTGCTGAGCAGACCCACTCCAATCTCCTCAATGCATTCCAGGTACTAAAACAAGATGACTCCTTCCGGATGGGTCACAGGACTCGCACCGCCCATTGAAAACCGGTTCAGTAAGAACCTGAGTCCCCAAGCCAGGCAGGGTGAAGGGGCAGCACCCGGAGGACCACCGTCACTCCCAGCTGGTGGAGCGTGAGGAGGCTGTCGAGGAGTCCCAGGAAATGGAGGCAAAGAGGCTAGCAGTCCACACAGGGCTGAAACCTGAGAAGCACCTGATTGGAGCGCTGGAAGGGCGGGGAGGAGCCAGGATTCACTGTGAACGCGGAATCCAGGAGGCACAAGGCTTGTAGGCTGCTCCCGGTGAGATGAGCTCAGAAAGGGGCTGACCCAGAGAGTACCTTGTGAGCCTCGTGTGTAATTTTTAATTTTCTAGCAAGATAGCTTTAACAAAAAGTAAAATAGAAACAGGTAAAACTAACTTTGATATCATATCTCACTTAATCCAAAGAAATAAAATGTTCAATAAGTAACCAATGCAAAAACAATTAGCAGAATGCTTTATCTTTGCTTTGTTTGCAGTGAACAGGGGATCTCTGCAGCGCACAGGAAGCAGGAAGAGCAGCAACTCCGGATGAAGGAAAACTGGGATCACCGAGGGGCTTTTCAAAAGCTCCTCACGCCCTCCTGGATGCACCCCCACTTCTCCATCACTGCCTGACTTCACAGAGGTATTTTTATAAACACAGTCACAAAGGGAGGTGGGGGAGAGTTGGGGCAGGCAGACTGCGTTCTGTGCTGAACAATACAGCAAATGGCAGCTTCTCTGAGATGGAAACCAGACGGGTCCCTGTCAGGAAAAGTCAATACGGCTTTGAGATGCCCAGTAGGCAGAGCACGGCAGGGCCCTATCCAGGGACCTGCTACACCATGCAAGGTCACCATGGAGACAGGCTCCTCCTGGCCTGGTCAAGGCCATCTCATAGTCGTGTCCCCAAATCTTTTAGTCTCCTCGGCAGAACGGGACGTGGCTTGGGCAAAGATGCTAACGGGATGATCCTGGCTGTCTCAGACTTACCATCAGTAGAGCTGCTCCCCACCAGAGGAAGGGGGGAGATGAGGGGAAAATGCCTCACTGAGGGTCACCTTGCCCTCCAGCCATCAGCGGAAGCCAAGCTGATGTTGGTTTCCTCCCTTCTGTAGCTACTGAGCCCCTCATTGCTGTGTCAGAAACTAAAATTATTCTTTTGCTTTTTTATTAATTTATTTATTTATTAAAGATTTCTGACTCTTCCCCACCACCGCCTCCCATTTCCCTCCCCCTCCCCCATTCAAGTACCCCTCCCTCCTCAGCCCAAAGTGCAATCAGGGTTCCCTGCCCTGTGGGAAGTCCAAGGACCACCCACCTCCATCCATGTCTAGTCAGGTGAGCATCCAAACTGCCTAGGCTCCCACAAAGCCAGTATGTGCAGTAGGATCAAAAACCCGAGAAAACCTAAAGTTGCTAGAAATTCTTCCCTGAGAGAATTTGCCCATGAGAGCAAATAAAGAAAACCCTGAAGCCTGTGACGTGTAAGCAGGCCCCGGCCAGCCTTAGCTCCTGCTTTATGTTCTAGCTAAAGTACATGGACTGTGGGTGCTTCACCTCTCGCATGCGTGTGAGTGTATATCTACACACATGCACACATGCACACACATGTGCACACACACATACACACACACCACACACAAGGGGTCAGGGGAGAAAGAGGGAGAGAGAGAATATAATGGTTATGGGGCTAATGGACCAGACTCTGATGAGACATTAACATTTGCTAGCCCTGTGACCTTGAGCAAATTACTTGACCTCTGGGTGTGAGTTTCTTTTTCAAAAAAAAAAAAAAAAAGAACTTGGAGAATAACTGTCAGTACTTCCCAGAGAATTAAAAAGAGTTAATAGAGCAAAATCAGTGCATTAGAAATAGAAATCAGTAGAAGCAGGCCTGGAGCACGCTGAGAACCACACACGTGGCTGCTATCATTTGCTACATCCTTATTCTGTGCCCCATGAGTGAAAGCTCTGACTAGCAGCTGTGTATGGGAATATTTACACCTTCCTTCCACGCTCATTACTCTGCTTTTCCTGACCAGTGACCATGCCAAGCCCCTACCTGCCAGCCCCAACAAAGCACTCACATGCTGAGAAAGAGCGGCCAGGGCTCCTTGGATAGCTTCAGCTCCCTGCTCCTTCTCTCTCTATACCGCCTAACCACACACACAGCAACTGCTGCAACGCCGGTCACTCCACCCAAAGCAATGCTTTTAATTATTAGCATGCATGTCAATCACCCAGGCACCCACTCAGAACACAGAAGGCGGTTCACAAGCTCTAAATCTGGAATCCTGCATGTCTAAGTTGTCTCCAGGTGAGGTACACAACACGGGTCCACAAAAACTCTCCATTGCACTGATGGAGTGCACAGCTCCTCCGGGGCGGGGGCCAGAGCTGTGCGCACACCGTCTCCTCCAGTCACCCCAGTCTCTAGCACAAGGAGGCTGCTCAGGCAGCTCAAGCTGAGCTCCTGGAGAAGACACTGCCTACTCCTGGACCTCAAGCTCCTCTTTGGCAACTGGCAAACCCATCCAGAATGCAGGAGATGATTTGGGGTATCAGGAGTATAATCACCCCCACATTATGCATCCCAATCTCTAACTTGATGGCCATTTGCTGCCAAGAAAACACCCTGTTGTCTGTGATGTCCCCGACTGAGCCAGAGAGCCCTGAAAACCCTCTGAGGCTCAAGGAGAGCCAACCCTATCCAGCCCTACAACTCACAGAGAGAGCAGAACTTCCACCGACCTTGAGCATGTCCTCTGAATTCCTCAAGCTTCAGTATCTTCTGATGACAAGGTTAAATCTTGTCTTCCTCTACGATCCAAGGAGATTGACAGTCCACGCAAGTGTTCGCAGTGAGCCGCTGATGTAAGGCATTTGTTACTGAGACAGCTCAGCCTCCAACCCAAGGCAATGGCGGTTATTTCTCACAGAGATCTTTCCAAACCCCCTGTCGCCACAAAGCTCATTATATCCCACCGGGCTCCACGGGTTGCAGAGAGCAACATTCAGAACAAGGAAGAAAGGAAGGAAGGAAGGAAGGAAGGAAGGAAGGAAGGAAGGAAGGAAGGAAGGAAGGAAGGAAGGGCTATAATTGTCAAGGAAACGGCAGATCACTCTGGACACACCCAGGTAATTGAACCACACTGAGGCTCCCACCCTCTACCCTCAGGTCTGCTGTTCTTCATCCAGCCTTCCTAGACTGTTTCTGTGACCAACAGCCAGGGACAGGCTCATGTATGATGGACCCAGTGCAGGGCCCTGCATCCTGTCACGTGTTAACATCGTCGGCCAGGGCACACTGGGTAGAACGGGACACACAGCAAGCCAGTGCTCCCGGAACCCACTCCTCCTCACGCTCTCATGTACACAGAATGATGGCATCCTTCCCTTCAAGGCTGGAGTCCCGATTACCTGATGCTTAAGCAGTGTTCATGCATCAACACCAAACTTGCTTGAATCCCACTGGAAGGGACTGCAAAGGCCACAGCTCTTACCAAATTCTAGGTGCGGCGGTAAGTCCTAGATATAACAATATTCACAACAAGTGCTAAGACCTAAGGTCTCACCATGTGACTAACCCTGTACTGAGCCATATTCCCAGGAAGTACTCTTAACACACGCCACCACTGGAAGCTGCGACTCAGAGACAAGGCATGCGACACGACCACGCTGGCAGGGGACTTTCCTAACACACAGCATGGGTGAGACAGAGAGAGGAGGATAGTTAGGGACATCCGAGGCTATGTAGTGAGTCTGGGGCCAGCCTGGGCTGCTGCTTCAAAACAAACAAGCAAGAAAATCGGAAGAATCAGTAACTCATTTGAAATCAAGTCTGAATGTAGTACTCAACCCACAACTGGTCTACTTACTCGGTAATAGTGTGGACTGGTCTCTCATTTGCCCATCTGTAGGCTAGGCTTTCTCAAAGCTGGGCTACTACTGGCAAAGAGCATCCATACAAATCAGCAGACTGAGCCCAGTCCAGCAAGGGGGACCTGCCAATTGTGGAGACGCTTGCTCTCAGCTGAGCAGCGTTGGGAGCATGAAAGAGGCCAAGGCCCTAAGTAAGCCACACTTCAGGCTGCAGACAACACCCTTTGTTGCTTGCAGCACCTTCTAGAAGGATGAGACCTTTGTGGGCTGTAGACACAGAGCAGAGCGGGTGCCGGAGGTCGGGACCAGTTCCTACTGTGTTTCCACGTGCAAAGCCGGGGCTTGTGTGCAGGGGTGTTCCCGCTTCCACAGCCAAGTTCTCTCCATTGTGTTTCCATCCTCAGGAAACAGGGTGAGCTTGACTTCTCCTGACCCTCGGCATCTTCAGTCTCTCAACTGGACAACAGCTGACTTGCTGTGAAATTCACAAGCTTTGTGAACCTCTAGCTCAGAAGACAGACCTGAGGTAGAATTGTCACGAATGGCCGCAGATATCTGCACACACTGGGAAAACATCTCTCATTGGTGGGAAACGCTAACACGGCTGGCATCAGCAGGAATCAAGGAAAGGAGTTCTATAAACCATATTATAGAACCAAGGACTTACACGGATTCTAGGAAAGGAGTTCTATAAACCATATTATAGAACCAAGGACTTACACGGATTCTAGGAAAGGAGTTCTATAAACCATATTATAGAACCAAGGACTTACACGGATTCTAGGAAAGGAGTTCTATAAACCATATTATAGAACCAAGGACTTACACGGATTCTAGGAGGCTCTAGAGGAGCCTGGAGCTCCTAGGGGGGTCCCAGAAAATCCCCTCTCCCTCTGATTTAGCCCACATGCTCCTGTCTCTGTTGTTCATGCTAACTCGGAGTGCGTGCCCCCAGGAACTCGTCCCTACTGTCCCCTGCTTTTACTATCAGACAAGAAGCCAGACTACTTTCTTGATCTAACTCTGACATTCCCAGGAATGGAGTATGAAAAGTCCCTGGAAGACAAACAGCCGACCCGTCACGTCTGCTTCCATGCCAGTTACACAGACGAAAGAATCCAGAAGAAATTTCCTAAATTTCCAGAATTCTCTAATTTCTTCTTGGTCAAGATGAAAGGAAATGCAATAATCTGTCTTCCCACTGTGTCTTCCCAAGCCAGGCACTTCCTAAACAGGGAGGGAATTATTCAATGACAGTGCTCAGAGTCTTCTCTGGAATCCAGGAGCCTCAGGAGCTGCCTCCTTCCTGTCTCTACCAGCTCCAGGCCATCATTCCCTTGGTGACAGAGGTACTTTCTCAGAGCAAGGCCTCCACATGAGGCCACCCCTACTCTGTGTCCCCAGACTGACCATCTCTCCCTTTAGCCTCTCTTCCACAGAGCCTCCCTCCAGCCACTGTGCCAGACCAGCCAGGATCATGTGACCCCTGGAGGCCTGAGAGTGTCTGAGCTAACTTGTTTTCCTTTGCTTTGGTACAATAAGCTTAACAGGAGCAGGGTCTGTCTCTCTGGTGTGCATTCAACTCCACGGCAGAGTCTCGAGCAACAGGAAACAGTCAAAAGCCATTTAATATGCACTTTCAAGTGGAAAATTAATAAATAAACAAGTGAACTAGGCCGAGTCCTTAGCTTCCCAGTGTCCCAGGGTACAGAGCGAGGCACGGCTGGGAGTCTAGTAAACCGCTTCCCAGACCTCATTTCCTAGCTCAGAACACTGACCCAGACGGGAACCACTTGGCAGGTGATGGCTGGCAGGGGCCACTCCAAAGGGATAAGGGACACTTTGTTACACCAAGGCAACCTAAAAACAAAGTCAACTGTGGTCCCCTAAGCAGCAGAATTCCTGCACTCAAAGAAGCCAAGTTCATGTTCCTTCACAAGTGGTTTTCTAAAGTAGGCTATTGGCTACTCATCAAAAAACCAGAAAACCCAGAACATCAAGGTTTTCGCCAAAATCAAAAGCAATTGCACCATCTAGTCCTTACTCAAGACCCTCAGCCCCTGTTACATGTCAATGACTCCTGTGTACTAAAGGTATGGGTGGTTTGGGACATGGCACATGGCATATTTAAACTCTTTCTCCTGAGTTGACATTAAAAAACAGTAATGATATCCATCCCAAATTTCCCAAGAATCATTGGTGGGGGTGGGGAATGTCCTACTTTATACAGAGACAAACTAAAATATATTGACGAGTGAGAATATAGTGAACACGAAGTGGGGGAGAGAATAGCTCGGGGGTAGAGTGCTTGCCCGTAGCAGCAAGAGGCCCCCAGGACCCACATAAATAGCCAGCTGTGGTGGTGAACGCCTGCAAACCCCAGGCAGAGGGAGACAGAGACAAGTTGATCCCCAGGGCTCTCTGCATAGCCAGTTTAGACAAAACAACAAGGTGGAAGTTCAGAGAGAAACCCTGCATCAAGAGATAAGACAGAGCCAGTAAGATGGCTCAGGAGGTAATGGCACCTCCTGTCAAGCCTGACACCCTTAAGTTTGACCCCAGAATGCACCTGGTAGAACAAAGCCAACTTGCACTCACACAGATGTACACACAGGCAGAGAGTGATGGTGGAAGACTGCCCAAAAGTGACCTCTGTCTCCACACAGGCAGACACACCCATGCATCCATGCATACAATGCTTAGCGCACACACACATTCAAACACACACACACACTTTTTTTATTTTTTGTTGTTTTTAGGGGGGGTGTTTTTTGCTTTTGGGGGGATTTTTTTTTTGAGATAGTGGCTATCTTGGAACTTGCTCTGTAGACCAGGCTGGCCTCAAACTCATAGATCGCCTGCCTCTGCCTCCTGAGTGCTGGGGTTAAAGGTGTGTGCTACCACACCTTGCTGAAGTTCTTAATAAACTTAGAAAAACCAGCAGCAACTTAACTAAGCCAACCCTGCAAGAGTCCGCCCATGCCCCTGTAGCAGGAACATTTCCTTGCTTGCCTGCTTGCCTAGCAAACAATTCTATCACTCGGGTCATATCTACCGCTTTCCTGACAAAAACAAAATCTGATTTTAAAGAACAGAGGGCAAAATACAACCAGGGCCATTATTTTCAACAACGATAAGACAGAGTTCCCTGTCAACTACTGACTCCCTGGGCTGTGGCCCTGTCTCACTCCCGGCACAGCCTGGACTTACTGAGCATCCTCTATGAATCCTGGCGGACCTAAAGGCAGAAGCCCACCCTTCGCAGGCACTCCCTAGTCTGTCCCCATCGTCGCTGGATTTCCCTGAAGGCCTCCTCTTCAGCTGCAGAAGTATAATCCCACAAAAGTAATAAGGTGCTTAATTATGCATGCTTCATTGTAGGAAAATGTCTGCTCTGCATTTGTGGAAAACATGCTCACTGTAAAACCCAAAATGAGAGAGATGGCAAAAGGAGGTCACATGCTTCCCAGACGCACATCCCTGGGCCTGCTGAAGGATACGCTGTCCCTATCCTGGGACATCCTGGGACAGATCATACAAGTAATAATCCTCAATCTGCATAACTGCCGCAATATAAAAGTGCAGGACAAGGTGCCAAGAGAGCCATGCTAGGACCCCCGACTCTAGCATGGTGGTGTCTGTACTTCCTACTTCCTTCAGAGTGGTCTCTCCCACCCACCTCACATTAGACAGTGTAAACTGTTTGGCAACAGAGAGTCTGCTTGTCATTTCCAAAGCCCATGTCCACAAACAAGGGAGGTTCTTGTCTCAATGTCCCTCAGAAATCACCAGAACAATAGGGAGCAAGAAAGCTGTCACTGAGTTCCATGGCCACAGATGAAACCCAGGGAATGGCACTTGCTGTCTCTCTGAAGCAATCAAGCCACCACTGGCCAAAATGGGTCACCACTGAGCCTTCGGTGAGGTCACTGCAGCATCCCAAGTTCCCGATCCTTCATTTTCCCCAAGAATCTTGCAAATGTGTGCAATAGCCCATCACCACCGTTGCTTTACCTACGAGTTCTGGTTTGCAATTATGACCTCATAATGGTGTCATCTGGACTCTCTGCCTGGCCTAGCCTGATGATGTCATCAGACGAGCCGGATTCCCCAAGCCCCGCATTCAGCAGAAGGGTAGCTCACTGAGGTGTCAGCCGTGCTGTGGGTGAGGCTATGTTAGCCTCTTCCTATATGACTGTCCACGTTAAGCCAGGAGTTAGTGGTGCATGCCTTTAATCCCAGCACTCGGAAGGCTGAGGCAGGTGGATCTCTGTGAGTTTGAGACCAGCCTGGTCTACAAGAACTAGTTCCAGGACAAGCTCCAAAGCTATAGAGAAATCATGTCCTGGAAAACAAAACAAAACAACAACAACAAAAAAAGACTGTCCAAGTTGTGATATCTGCTTACTACCCCACCAACACACTAAGTGTAAATCTCAATCCTTTCAAATTTACACACACACACACACACACACACACACAATCTTCTCAAAAAGTAACAGAGAGCAAAATTTACTCACTAAGAAATGCTAAGTCCAAAAGCCAGGTGTCACAGTACCCACTAAATTAAAAATCTCATAATCTCATAGGCAGCACAGCCCCTAGCGTGTCTAAGGCAGTGGTTCCCAACCTTCCTAGTGCTGCGACCCTTCCACACAGTTCCTCACGTTGTGGTGAGCCCCCACCATAACATTATTTCTTTGCTACGTTGTAACTGTAACTTTGCTACTGTTGTGAGAAGTACTGTAAACATCTGATGTGCAGGCTACCTGACACATGCTACCCTGTGACCCCAGGGTGGGTCACAGCCCACAGGTTGAGAACTGTTGATCCAGACCTTGCTCCCAGGCCTTTCAGAACCTGGAGCAGTGGATCACAGTTTCCAGAGATTCCATTAGTCTTCCTCTGAGGCAGATCCCCTCTGCTTGGCCTGAGAATTGGTTCACCAGGCCTGAAGAAGCTGGCATCTTCTTTTCCACACCTTCCTAGAGTGGAACAAGGCATCTTCACTCCTCATGAACACAAAGATTCTCTGCCTACTCCTGGGGTGCGGGTCCATCCACACGAGTTCAGCCCCACACTCCTCATCACGCCTAGTCTCAAACAAGGGGCAAGTCTGGCACCCGCTGTCAAATGTACACAAAATGTATTTAAAATGCAAAAGCCTTTCATTCTTTGTATGCAAGGCTTTTAAACACCTTAGGAAAGCAGCCTTGGTATGCTAAGGCCACGTACTAGTAGACCAGGTCACTGTTTACACAGCCTGTTCCCGTAGGGTTCAATTTGATCTTTGGACTTCCGTGTCTACACAGAAACTTAGGATCACCTAATGCAGCCTTCTCGTCTTGGAAAGCCCAACTGCCGCGCACCGCGCCCCCATGTCTGCACTCTGTGCACTGGCACCCAGTTACCGAGCTTCGGGCAAGGTGCTGGAGGTTAAAATACACAAACACACACAGACAGAGAGACAGAGATATGGGTCATCTTTGAATTCCCCAAGAATGCTCCCTTTATTGTGTTCAGGGGCAGATTATACAGAGATAACCACGCCCCAGCCAAACTCACCAGAAACCACTGTCCTGCCATCAGGAACTCCTGAAGGTCTCGTGCTCAGAGCAGCTGTAGGCACTCAGATCAGGGGATTACAAGAAATTCAGGATCTGGGGTCTCACTGCTCCCAATATCTCCCCCCTAAATTTTTTATAAAACAGAAGACCCTCCTGACCACACAGCCTTTCGGTCACTTTGATTGAACCTGTACTCAGTAGAGAGTAGACAGCATCTCCGCAGGAGAATACTGGCTTTTAGGGAACACAAGAGAGCAACTTAAGCCTGTAAGACAGGTAGATTCAGGTATCCCAGAGACTGTTGGTTCCTCATACTATTTCCCACACACCCTCTTCTTTCCCTCAAGTGAACAGAGGTGTGTGACCATTTCAGACTCGGGACTTTTAAGTTTCTTTGCCAACTGCCACTGCCTTCTCGTCCCGCTGCTACGTTCTCGGGCAGCCCAGTGGGGTCTGTGCTCCAGCTTGTCTCTGCTCCAGCACTTGTTGTTGCGTTTGCTGATACTCCTGGCACCGCTGTGGCATCCGCCAGGCTAGGCACCGACTGGGCTGAGGCAATGTGCCTTCCACCACAACCCTTTGAGAACTTACAGGTGCTATGGTGAATTCTACACTCTAACCAGCAGCCGGACAAGAGGGAGTCGGAGTTCCCACTTCCCTGAATGAGCTCCTAAGTGGAAGGAGAGTTTCTTGCATCGTAGAAACACACAACTAATAAATTCAGGAAATATTTGATATCTAAAGATAGCGAAAAAGACTGGCCTTGGGGAAAGCGGTAAGAATTCCTCTGAAGCAGTTCTGTGGACTCTGAAACCTTTGAGGTCAAGTGTTTTAACCTCAGGGAGACTTGAGTTTCTACAATCCAAGTCATCCTGGGTAGCACCTGCGGTGAGTGGCAGGGATTTGCCCAGTGAAGAATGGTGCAGCTAATGAAACGGTCTGTCAGGTCTGAAGGCCAGGACTCACTAATCCCAACATCAGTGAGCTGGCACCCCAAAGCCAGAGTATGAACGAGGAGCAAGGTGAATTCGGTAAGACCTGTCTCTCCCAGAAAAGCGGAGTTTATGTGTACCCTCTGTTCTGTGCTCGGATTCACAGTGATTCAAAAACAGGCAAAGAATGATAGGGCTGTGCATTTAGGTCCTGGTTTCCACCTCCACACAAATGAGGCAAGGTCTTCTATTCGACAGTAAGTAATAAGCACCCTGGCAGTATCAATATCTAAGCTTCCCAGTGTCTTCATACAAAGGTACGTTAGACAGAATGAATGATCCCATTCTTTCCTGAGAGCGTGATACCAGGGAATGGAGGGGCATGGACCATATGGAAAAAAATAAAGAAAATGAAAAAAAAAAAATCAGAAAAAATTCCTATCACGTAGAAACAAAACAAAGAGCTAGGTCTGGCCAGCCCAGCAAGTGTCCATCCAGACATCCAACAGACAAGGGAGCAAATTCAATTCACATGAAAATTCTCAGCTCATTGCCTGGTCTTCTCATAGGCGGC